GACCTGAAATGCACTGCAGGGCGTCAGTGGATGCAGGTGGTTCAGGACCGTTCTTTATGGCAGTCTATGGGGGAGGTTTATATCCAGTGTGGACGGATAATGGCTGAAATAATGAATGTTTAATGGCCAAAATCATAACAAATAAAAGTATTATTATTATAAAACTTCTTTCGTCAGATGTATGAAAATGTTCTATCTATCCTATTTAAGAGCTGCGCTCTTGTCGGTGGAGCTCTTGCCACTCACTACGATTTTCAGCAGCGTCTCTTCACCTCTTGATACGACACGACACCTACTCCTTCCTTGATTTGCCTGATGTAACTATGCCTCGGTCTCCCTCTCCCCCTCCTTCCTTCTATCTTACCTTCTATTATAATGTTCATAAGTTCGTCGTGTCGTATCAAGTGTCCCAACATTTTTCCCCTTCTGTCCTCAATAGTTCTAATAATTTGTCTTTTTTCCTTAACCCTAAGCAGGACCTCCTTATTGCTAATCCGATCCCTCCAGCTAATTTTCTCCAACCAATGTTAGGCAAGTTAAAAAAGTAGACAATTAAAACAAGTATTTTATCTTATTAACAATTTATTTACAAACAATGATATTTTTCGTAAAATAATTTGTACACATTTCTGATAGAATATGTATATATACTATTGTAAAGAATCGAAAACAATCTATAGTATTATCGAAACTAAACAATTTTCAATGAGAAAGCTCGCAATTATTTCCGATTTGTACAAAATATGATATTGGAAAACTATTTTTGTAATTCCAAATTTCTATTCAAATATTATATTTTACAATGAGTAGATTTTTAGTCTTACGTATTAGCTACATATTTTGATTTCACCCTGTATGTCATGTCACTACTTTTTAATACAAAATCACTCTATTAAAAAGATAACAGAATTATTATCGAATTCAGAATAGGAATCTATAGGCGACGGTTACCACTTTCCATCAGGTGGGCCGTCAGCTTGTTTGCCATTTTAAGTTGTATAAAAAAAAAAGTTAAAATGTTCTACTCCTTATTTTTTTTTCCTGTTCACAGTCTGTCGAATGTGGCAGATTGGACAACACTAGCCCACTGACAAAGTTAAAAAAAAATCTTAAAATAACGCTGTCTTATTTTTAGAATATAAAGATAATTTCCCTACAGATATTTCGAAAAACAGGTCCCCTTTTAATGCATGTGAGCGTAAACCGTGTTGCCAGTGTATATAATTAATGTGGTAGAAATTTATAAGTTGTAAAAAAAAGAAACAAATTTCTTACGAATACGAGAATATTTAAAAGAAATAGAAAAAGAGTGATATCGTAGTTATGCTTATTATATTTCAATATTTGAGTACAGAAATAAAAATGTATTCGTTTTTATATCTTTTTTTTTATTGGATGAAAATGATATGGTAACCCCGCCTGCGCTAACAGGATACGCTGGCGGAGCACCAGTGAATGGGTGATAGATGAGAATGAAAACAAACTAGTTAGCCCATCATGATGAATTCATCTGGAATTAATCATGATAGTTTCCAGGGAGAACCGCGAGGAGGTCGACCTGGTTGGGTATATTGCTAGCAATGGGATTCTCAGTCTCCATTACTAACAATCCCTTTCCCCCCGTTTTTATATCGATAAAAATGGCCGCTAATTACATTTATACGTGTATATTAGTTTATCATATACAAAAATGCCCCTATTTAATATAGATAAGTTAGTTGTATGAGAAATTATTTAGCTTTTTAAAGATATATTAATATTTTGTATTATGTAATAAATATATTTGTTGAAATTGCTATGATTTTATTATTGATACATTTATTTTTAATTTTTTTTTTTATCATACAATAAGATGGTAAAAGAGATAGGATTTTTTTTATACAACTTAGAATGGCAAACAAGCTGACGGCCCACCTGATGGAAAGTGGTAACCGTCGCCTATAGACATGAGCAGTACCATGGACATAACAGAGTATAGTGTTTCGTTTATGATACCCCCCATGCGTTGCCATTCCTGAGGACTCAGGTGTTATTCCTCTGTACCCAGTAACTATAATGAGAAATGATACAAAAGGCGGCCTTATCGCTAAGCAATCTCTTCCAGACAACCTTTGGGTAGAGGACATTGAGAAAAAGACAAAGGGTAGGTGGCGCACAATTATAAAGATACTAATGTATACAAACATACATACTTAATAGCACACATACAACAGGAGAGAACGAAGAATGGAGATAAAAAGAGAACTCAGGAAAAAGTACTTAAAAGGAGAGATAGATGTTTATTTGAAAAAAAAAATTAAAACGCCATCTGTTGACGTAGTTTATTTTTACAAAAACAATGACAGGTTATCGTTAATAATTCATTTTGAACATATAGTTATATATATAATAAAATAAATATACAAAATGAAATAAAAATTTACAATCAATTACATCAATACATGAAGAATAAAAATAAGTATTTAAAAATAATATTACAATTTTCACTGATCTTCAATCATTGGTTGATTCATCGGGCGATATTGCTGCACTACTCTAACATTATTACTTCCCTATAATTGCATCCTTGTCTTGCAATTGGCTCTTAAGGATGTCACACATTGTATCGATAAGACAATCTTTATAGAAACGCATATCTTACGATATCTATATACGTGCAGACATTACCTACTATCTGTCCATCAAGTATACATACCGTAAACAAGTTACACTTGTGACAAACAGGTGTTTAATACATGTTTATACGACTTACTACAGAAGCGTTGTTAACATCTATTTATAATTTCAACAAAAGAAAATCTAATTAAAAAACTAAACTATAAAACCGATTTTGATAAAACTTCTGTAGGATCTATCTGTAACTATATTATTTCAGATAAAAAAAGAATTTTCCAAATCGGTTTATAACTGACAAAGTTATAAGGTATAAAACGTAAAAAAATATTTTTTTATTTTATTGTCAGAGGCAAACGAACAGACGGTCCACCCGATGAAAAGTGGCTACCGTCGCCCATGGACACCTGCAACACGAGAGGAGTTGCTTGTGCGTTGCTGGCCATTGAAAGTCTTTATGAAAGTTAGTTGATAATAAATTTTATTATAAAAATTTATAGGTTTTGGCACCAAAATTATAAATAAACATTATTAGACTGATTAAAATATATTAAATTTTTTATAATGGGTTATAATGGAATGGTAACCCCATCCGCGCTATCGGTATACACCGGCGGGGCACCAGTGAAGGATGATAGGTGAGGATGAAGCAGGTCAATTAGCCCATCGTGATGAATTCAACAAGAATTGTTCACGATGGTTTCCAGGGGGAACCACGTGGACGTCGAGCTAATAGGGCATATTGCTAGCAATGGGGCTGCCAAACTCTATTGTTAACAATTCCTTTCCCCCCAAATACATTCAATTGTTAAACACTGTTCAGGTAAACAGTGTTTTAATTTTATTTTTCAGAGGAACATTGGTCGATTATCAATGAATGTATTAATATAACAGATGAATTCGGGGAGAAAGGGATTGTTAGTAATGGAGACTGAGAATCCCATTGCTATCAATATACCCAACCAGGTCGACCTCCTCGCGGTTCTCCCTGGAAACTATCATGGTTAATTCCTGATGAATTCTTCATGACGGGCTAACTGGCCTGTTTTCATTCTCATCTATCACCCTTCACTGGTGCTCCGCCGGCGTATTCCGTTGACGCAGACGGGGTTACCATACCATTTTCACCCATCAAAAAAAAAAAAAACAGATGAATTCGTGGTGTTAGTATCAGAGGCACGTTGTTCACGCGAATCCCTATTATCTTAAGTTACACGAGTTACGCTACCGACGTAAATAGTAAGTTTTAACATTGAAGTAATATGCACTTTAACTTAATGGTTTTTAAGCTCTTAATATCTTTTAAGTCACTTTTTTAATTACTTTATAATTATGTTTGATATATAAATATAAAACTGTAGTAATTAATATAAAGTTCTGTATCCGAATGACCTACGTCAATTTATTTCTAGTTTATTTTACAAAAATTCGCGTCCAAAAAAAAATTAACTACCTAATAGTTTTTTTTTTTTAATTCAAATCATCTTTGTTCAAATATACTTGTTTACAAGCATTTTTAAATTGTCATTTTTTTTAATCTACTGCAGGGTTCGAAGGTTGTTATCTGTTGAGAAGAGCCCGCAAGAAACTCAACAGTTACTCTTTTAAATTTTTGTTAACGTCATGTTAACTGAGATTTAAAAAAGTAACTGTTGAGTCAACTCGCTTTATACATTTTATTTTGTTTATTTTAAATGAACAAAATAAGTATTTAACTATTTAGAATAAAAAGGTCACTGTGTCATTTGATCGTAATCAATTAACCTAGGAATGTACAAATTCATAGACTGGGGGGGAAAGGGATTGTTAGTAATGGAGACTAAGAATCCCATTGCTAGCAATATACCCAACCAGGTCGACCTCCTCGCGGTTCCCCCTGGAAACCATCACGTATAATTCATGTCAAATTAATCATGGTGGGCCAACTAATCTGCATTCATTCTCACCTATCATCCTCCACTGGTGCCTCGTCGGTGTATACCGATAGCGCGGGCGGGGTTACCAATCCATTTTCACCCATAAAAAAAATTCATAGACTTGGTATAACTATTACTTCTTTGATATTAATTATGATTAATTTTATTTTTAAATTATCAATTTTGAAAAAAAGGACATACCTACCAGTCTTTTAATATATGTATAGATTTGTTTTGCTAAATAATTGAATTTGTCAAGTAAAAAAATTAATGTATTAGGTAATGAAAATTATTGAATAACTTATATGAATAATTCCGAATTCTAAATATTTAAATTTTGACACTTAAGTAGGACCTTGTAGGTGGCGCTGCTGTCGGTATGCCACCAAATTTTATTTGATGGACAATCGACAATATCATAATTTTGAGCGTTACATTTCATTTCCTAGTTAGAAAAAATAAAAAAATATGTGTTACTTGTATTTTTATTTTTATGAAAGACTCCATTTTCCGTCTAGAGACATCCATTAGAGTATGGTAACTGACGCGTGTTTACGAGGGGGTGAGGTCAGGTAGCAGCGGGCGGCAGGGAGTGTCCATACTTTAGTACTATTACTTACACTAAGTTCGCGAGCTGCTTGTTCGTATTAGCTTTTTTTCATCATATACAGTTTGTTACTAGAATTCTGTGCCGCAATCTCGTTCATTACCAAGTCCTGTATTTTACTTCGCAACACTAGTTTCCTCACTGGTTCTAAATCTCTGAAGAACGGGGCTAGTGATTTTAGAAACATCAAGTCATACTCCTCTTCAGCATAGGTCTTCCTTCTTTTTTCTGGTACTGGCACATCTATTTCTTCCTCGTTATTACCATTCGACTGCACGTCCACAAAGTTCGTGTCAGTGAAACTTGAGAAGCTCACGATGTCTTCTTTCTCTTCTCTTTCAGTCTCAGTCGTGCTCGCTTCGTTATCACTCGGTTTCTCCATGAAGCTTAGTAACTCCATGTGTGGCCATTTACCATTGTAGTCCTCCACACACGTGGCGCCAGTCTTCTTCAACTCCTTTTTAAATGAATCACGTAAATTCTTCCATTTCATTCGTAGTAAATCAACTGTAAAAAAATATTTTGCTAGATTAAAATATAAACTATACAGGGGGAGAAGGGATTGTTAATAATGGGAAGGTTAGTTCCCATTGCTATCAATATCAGGTCGACCTCCCCGCGGTTCTCCCTGGAAACTATCGTGACCAATTTATCATTGAATGTTACAATGAGCTAACTGACCTGCCTTTTCATCCTCGCCTATGACCGCTCACTGGTACCCCACCACTGTACAGCGATAGCGCAAACGTTATGGGTAAAAATGGCATTGTAACCCCATACCATTTTCATCCATAAAAAAAATAACTATACACTATACATTAATGTTATGTTTCATCATATAAGCCGATAACTGTCCACTGTTGAACATAGGCGTCTCTCAAAAAACGTGATTTTGTCAGTAGTTGCCACGCTTGGCAACCGCTGTTAGGCTTTAATAATCTTTTAAGAGGGCCGCTGCTGCCCATTCCTCGATCCTTAAGTTCCTTAGTCGTCTCTTACGTCAACCACAGGAAAGAAAGGGGTGCTTTCACTGTATGTCGGGATCACACAGAAATGTTATGTTTAGTGCCATCTATTTGTTTTATGTGGAACTAATAAGTTACTCATGAAGTACGAAATACGCCTCCGTGATAGCTGCTCTATAAATCATAAATTAAGTATAATACAAAGTACAAACTTGGCAGTTGCAGTGCTTCGGATATCTCCTTCCAGGCTATGGCAGTTTGATATCTATCATTGTACTCATCACTCTCTGTGTTCCAAACACACTCGCGTTTTTTTATTTCATTTACCAACTTTTGAACTGAGAATTCGCCTATGTTGCCTTTAGGAGGCATTTTGACGGCAAGTATTAGTAAGTTAAAACTGCAACGTCGATCCGCGCGATTACCTACTGTCCGCCGCGGCAACTGACGAGAGCGCGGGACGCGACGCGGCGCGGTTGGTTGCGCGTGACCGAAGCAGGGATACGCGGCAAGCGGCGAGAAGCGGGAGGCGATAACGCGACACGCGGCGTTGCCGCTTTGTATAGAGATTGTAGACTAGATAGATTTTATTAGGTACCGAATAGATTTTATCATTAATTATAATTAGTCATACTACTTTAATAATTTAACACTATGTTTAAACAGAAATACCAGAGAGAGACTTTGTACAAAAGTCTTTTGTTTGGGCACCTCTATCCCATTCGTGTTTCTAGCGTGAAGCAGTTGTGTTTCGGTTTGAAGGGTGGGATATGGCAGTGAATTTACAGGGTACAGAGGAATAACACCTGAGTCCTCAGAAATGGCAACGCATGAGAGTAACATGGGTGAAACAGTATACTCTGTTATGTCCATGGTACTGCTCATGTCTATAGGCAAAGGTTACCACTTTCCATCAGGTCAGCCCATTCTAAGTTGCATAAAAAAATTAAATAAGTTAATTATTCATTAAAATAATATAAATCAATTAAAATGAAAAATAATTTTAATTATTAGATGTATAATTCTTATCCTAATTTTAGCTGATAATTTACATCCAACTTCCAATTTGAAAAATCGGATAAAACCTACCTTTTTTTATATCACAAAGATGGCAAACAAGCATACGGCCCGTCTTATTGTAAACGCTTACTTTCTATATAGAATATATGGAAGTCTGCAAAACCAGTGGGTCTACCATGAAATGAAATTCCGAAAATTCGGGCTCAATTTCGTGTTTTTGTTTATACCAAAACCGGACTAATAAATGGAGTTTAACATTTCGTTCGTCATACATCCTATCATAAAAGTCAAAAGGAACAATATTTTAACATTTTTAATATTTCCAAACGGCATATATTATGTAATTTTAACATCAAATTTCTGTTTCGTTTGGCTCCGAAATTTCGGAAAATATTTCATGGTAGGTCCTCTGGTTACATCAAAACCCAATCTATTCTACAAGCGGTGGAACACACAAAAGAAAACAGAAACACGCCTTAAATTATAATTACAAAGTTAGATTACTCTAGTGAGCTATTCTATCTTTCAAATTGAAGTAAACGGTACACAATTCCAAAATTTTATTGAAATCGGTACACAATTCCAAAATTGAAACCGTTCTAAGTGAGACGGTTTCAAAGATTAGTATGCTTAAAACAGAATTAATTATAAGCGCCATCTCTTACACTTTACAGAAAACTCTGAGTTCTATTATATCACTAGGTTGCTAAAGCAAGTTTCAACTGTCATAATGCTTTCCTATTTGTAGTTATAAATGATATTCACAGGTGTCAAACATTACGATCATACATTACATCAATACGAGGTCTGTCCGGAAAGTTCGTATAAAAGTGTTCTGGAATGCGAGAAAGAGGAGTGGGGAGGCCAGGTAAGCGCAGGACCCCTTCCTTATGTCCCTAACAATGCTTCAGTTCTGGTCTGACCGCCGTGCGGTGCGAACTGGCTTGTCACGCCATCTGTGAAGTTACCTCTTAACGAAACCCCGTCGGCATGGAGCCCGCTTCCGTTGAAGAGCAGCGCGTCGTAATCAAGTTTCTCTCGAAACTCGGCAAGAATGGCCGTGAAATTTTTGCCGATCTCAGAACAGTTTATGGGGATGATGCTGTGAAGGAACCAACCGTCCACAAGTGGCTAAAAAGATTCAGAGAGGGCCGAGAAAGAGTTCGATGTTCGGGGGATTGTCCATCAAGAATTCGTCCCTCCAGGCCAGACAGTTGATGGAAAATTCTACGTCGATGTGCTCAGACGCCTCAAAGCTCGTGTGGCACGAGTTCGTCCAGAATTGGCGCGAGAGGGGCGTTGGATTCTTCACCACGACAATGCCCCTGCCCACACCTCTCTTGTTGTCCGTGAGTTTTTGAGTAAAAATTCCATTACGGTGACCGAACACCCCCTATTCGCCGGATTTGGCCCCGTGTGACTTCTTCTTGTTCCCAAAAACCAAATTGGTACTTCGGGGGCGGCATTTGGGGGACATAAATGAGATAAAAAAAGCTACGACGGGGCAGCTGAGAAACCTACAACCAGAGGACTTTCAAGGAGCCTTCTCACAGTGGAAACGGCGTTGGCACAAGTGCATTATGTCACAGGGGGAGTACTTTGAAGGGGATAAAATTGATTTACCTGAATAATTGTAAAATAAAATTTTTAAAAAACTTTTATACGTACTTTCCGGACAAACCTCGTATGTACAAATTGTTAAATTTTTTTTTCAAATTATGTACTTTTCTGTCTGATAGGTATTTAATTTCGCAGTTATTGTTTATTATATTATTTAACAGTTAATCTGATAGTTAATGAAGTAATAGTTTTTATTGATGCACTAGCTTATACCCGCGATTTCGTATGCGTGATCGGAATATATGTATTTTTTTCTTGTACAAAATTTTTAAAAAATGTACTTTATGTAGTACGTGTATATTAAACTTCATAGTGATTGATTAAGCCGTTTAGACATTATAAGGTAACAAACTCACATTCTTATTCATAATATTAGTAAAAAATCTAAGTAATGACTGTAACACCATGAAAAGTGGAAAGGGATTGTTAATAATGAGGTCTAATAGCCCCGTTGCTAGCAATACACCCCCTCAGGTCGACCTCCACGCGGTTCCCCCGGGAACTGTCGTGGTTAATTCTTGTCGAATTCATTATGGTGTGCCAACTGACCTGCATTCATTCTCCTCACCTATCATCTTCCACTGGTGCCTCATTGGTGTATACCGATGGTGCGGGCGGGGTTACCATTCCATTTTCATCTATTAAAAAAAACATGAACAAGCGCTCTTTGCATTTATTTAAAAATGAAGACTAAATAAATATTTTTCAGTTTTATCGTTGTAAACACAATTTCCGACTATACCTACCTGTAAAAGCATCATAAAACATGTAAAACATCTTAGAGACTGGATTAAAACTGGATGTGCGATTGATTCACTGAGGTAGCTATTGAGGAAGTATTTGTATGGAGACATTCTATCTATATATTCTAAGCATTACACATATTCGTAATTTGTCTCTTTCTTTCTTTTCTCAATGTCCTCTATCCAAAGGTTGTCTGGAAGAAATTACTTAGCGATAAGGCCGCCTTTTGTATCATTTCTCATTACAGTTAAATGTATTTACTATTCTATAAGTGGCGCAATAAAATGTAAAATAAATAAAAAGTGTAATTGTTTTTGGTCTCACCTTTGTAATTGCATTTCCAATGGATAAATTATTTAGTAACTCTAGTTATTTATATTTTATTATATATTTTTTTTACTATTAAGAGGGTCTTGCTATTACACGACCACAAACTCACCTGATGGAAAGCGATGATGTGGTCTAGGATGGGTCTCGCAGACCCACCAATAGCTTATTCACATTTGCATAAAATTGGTGAAGATTATATTTAGATGGAAAAACAGAAGCAGGGAGAGCGTTCCACTCCTTGGCGGTACGCATGATGAAGGAAGACGCAAAGCGCTTTGTTCTTATAATGGTATGTCTGCGACGTAGAGGTGGAGGTTCTTATCCTGTCTGGTCGTCCGATGTGGAAAGGGTGAAGGTCATGCGGTTTTTGAGAACATTCTCCGAAATGTATCCTGTAGGAAACAGCGAGTCGCGCAATCTTGCAACAACAGTACTTCTTATATAATGATATAATATTATATATATATATATATATATATATATATATATATATATATATATATATATATATATATATATGTATATACACAAAAATGTATCAATACGCAGTTTGCCAACCTTACATTGTAAATATCATTTAACACTAAGTTATAAGTAAACGTGATAACATTTTTATAGATGTATATTACATTACAATTATGTAATAAAATAGTTTAATAATATTAATAAAATAATATTAATAATGTAGTGTATATATAGTTGAAAATATGTTGCGAATTCGTTACTGGGGCAATAATAACAAAAGAAAAAATATAAACAATTTACTTGCTTCTATTTTTGCTTATATACAATAAATTGACATAGAAAATTTTCATCTTAATCTTCCAATCCAAAGACTAATCTCAAAAAGTTAAAAATTTTCAAATTAATTTTAATTTATAATAAAATAAAAAAAAATGGGTGTTCTTTTATTTTTTTTTTATTACTTATTACTAAGTACAGTTTTAAATAAGTTACATGAACAGATCAAGTATAAAAGTCTTAATTAAAATGCATCACATCGAGCTTGTTTATTCTAACTAGCAAATTACATTTATTAGCATTTTGAAGTACAATGGGTAGTGTAGCTACCAGTTCTCGGGTCACCAGTAACCTTGATTATGCGCACTGTAATCTTATTAACAATTAACAAAATATCTTAGTATTATTGATGTTTAAACAAAAAAGGAAAAGTGGTTGGTTACTGACTGATAGTATCTATCCATGGAATCCCACTCAGGGATCTATATGTAAGTATAACCTATCTGTAAGTATAACCTTTCAGATAAATGAGATTTTTTCAAATCAACAAATGACAGTGAATTTACTGGGTACAGGAATAACACCTGAGTCCTCAGGAATGGCAACGCATGGGGGGTATCATGGGCGAAACAGTATACTCTGTTATGTCCATGGTACTGCTCATGTCTATAGGCGACGGTTACCACTTTCCATCAGGTAAGCCATCAGCTTGTTTGCCATTCTAAGTTGTATAAAAAAAAACATAACTGAATAATCATAAAAAAAGATTTAGGTTCTCCACCTTTTATAAGTTGCTTAAAAAAAAAAGCAAATCTCTAATCTACGCACTAACTGGTCTTGAACGAGTTATTTTGAGACGCCTGCGCAGCCAGTTCGTTCAGTATCATATCTTGCATTTTACTTCTCAACACTAACTTTCTCATTAGATCTAATTCTTTAAAATAAGGCGCCAAGGATTTCAGGAACATCAGATCATATTCGTTCTCCTCACTCAATCTCCTCTTTTTCACTGGCATGGGATCTTGTTCTTCGTGTGCAGTTTCGTCTACGTATTCTGATTCCATAGGTTCAGATTTGACACCTTCATTTTGTTCAGAGTCATCGCTGTCCAGTGATCCGTCGCTTACCGGGACCACTGGATAATCGGGCTCGTGTACGAACCACATATATTTGAAGAAAGTCCACTTGCCCGGATAGTCTTCGAGGGACTCCGTATTGTATTTCCTAAATTCCCTTTTAAATGTGTCACGGAGATTTTTCCATTTTATTCGTAGGACGTCGTCTGTGAAAAATTAATATTCATTTGTACTTCGTGAACAAACTAGCAAATTTTGTTTTTATTAAACTACTAGCTCATGACCGCGACTTTGTCCGCGTGGTATTTGTTATTACTGTTTTTTTAAATGGGTGAAAATAGAATAGTAACCCCGCCCGCGCTAACGGTATACACCGACGAGGCACCAGTAGAAGATGATAGGTGAGAATGAATGCAGGTTAGTTGGCCCACCATGATGAATTCGACAAGAATTAAACATGATGGTTTCCAGGGAAATTCGCGTGGAGGTCGCCCTGAGAGGGTATATTACTGGCAATGGGGCTATTAGACCTCATTACTAACAATCCCTTTCCCCCTGTTATTACTGTTTAGTATGTATCGACGTATGTATCCACCTATTTATTATATCTGGGAATACAAGACCAAAATGAACAAATGACGTGTCGTTCTCACGCTTTGCCTTAGGTCAAAATGACTTTACTTCAGTAGGTTGTGTACTAAGCTGTATAAGTTACTATAGTTTTTTGACTATCCCACGGGAAATCTTTAATTTTCAGTAATTGAAAGTATCTAAAATATTGATCAAGGATGTAAGGTACTACCATGCAAAATTTCATTTAAATCGGTCCAACAGTTTCGGAGATTAGCCCTTACATACAGAGACACAAACAATTTGAAAAAATCTGGACCTGTTCTATTTCACTTCTAACATCCACCTGAGTCGGTTTTTAGCGTTTTTTTTTTCTATGTACAGACATTCGACCTCTACAGTTTTATCATATGTATAGATTGGAGATCCTTATTGCGATAGTATTAATAAATAGTTAATTATATATACGCAAGCATTTTTGTATTTGATCTAAAATTATTGATAAATTGTTTTTTTTTTCTTATTTAAATGAGTATATTACTCATCCATACCATCATTGTGTAGTCAAAAGAAAGAATTTTCAAATTATATATATATATATTGTGATCTTTTGGTGGGAAACAATAGTCTATCTATTTATACTGTAATAGCATTTTTGATTAATCTTAAACACTACAACAAACAATCTTGAGTCCTACTAATTAACATATGAATAGAGTTACAGAGCTAAAATAGAAACTCTTAATTAACGAATGTAAGTAGGTAGGTACATCGTGTAATATACACACAAAATACCTAATTAGCCTAATTTAATTCAAATTGTTTTTTTTTCGAGTCAATTAAAAATCTTTTTAGCGCCATCTATGTTTCTTGCAAGTCATGACTTCGTCTAACACGAGTATGTTATAGTCAGACAATGTTTTTATTTATTAAATAAAATAGAAATTAAGGAACCACAAGACGATCAATTGAAATTTATTGAAGATTTCAAATTAATTCGATACATTATTGGAGGAAGATCAATATCATGATGCGATTGTCAATGATGCAACGGAGTGATCAAGTGGTACGTTCAATGGCCCTGTTTTTTTATCAATTGTTTTATCCCCTTATAAAAGTAGTACCTAGCAAGTGATTTTTGGTTGAATTTGTAAATAATCAATAAAAATCTTTCCTTTTTGGCAATCACGTAAAATAAAATTAACAGTAGACAGTCTAAGATTACTTATATAAATAAATACACAAACCCGGTATCTTCAATATCGCCTTGATCTGTTTCCATGCGGTGATAGTTTGCAATCTATCATTGTAATCCTCATGATTAGAGTTCCACAGACACGGTCGTTCCCTGATTTCTTTAATAAGTTTCAATATAACTTTCTCTTTAAGTTTTATCGTTTTGGGAGCCATGTTTGCGCGGGAAACACGTTACACGCGAGGGTGTACGCGACAGCAACGCGATCGGGCGACTGGCTGGCGCGGTCCCGCGGCGAGTCGCTCGCTCGCCGCTCCCGTTCCGAGCGATCGACCTAGCGTTTGCGACGTTGCCGCTTCGTGCGAGCAAGCCGTGTCGCCACGATATCGCGTGATGGCGGTCACTGGCAATATGCAATGTGTGCATTCTTTGCATAATTATGTCGATTGTGCCCCCAAATTATTATCGTCATATCATTTAATTCCTTGCCGTGTGGTTCCGGCATAGAATGAACCACCCTTTCTTTTTCGGTGGGTGTCATAAGGGCCAACTAAGGGAGTTTTATGTAGTATGGGATGGACAGTAGTGCCCCTTCTATAACATTACCAAAGCCTAAATGAAGTTGTCAACCCAAAAATTATAATCGTTTGAATAGTTTTTGAGTTTATCGATTATAAATAAACAAACATACCAAAAATTAAGTCTTTCATTTTTATGTTATTAGTAAAGAACAAATAAATTATTGTGTGCCGTGAAATCTGCAATCAATATATTTTTTTACAATTTGATAGGTATATAAGTAATTTAGGTTTTGGATTTGATATGAATGACGAACGATGAACTTTGTTGTTTGTTACTAAATATGTCTCTCTTTCCTATCCCGTGGGCGTCGTAAGAGACGACTAAGGGAGGGCGAGGGGTGGGCAGCAGTGTTTTTTTTCATACAACTTAGAATGGCAAACAAGCTGACGGTCCACCTGACGGAAAGTAATAGCCGTCGCCTATAGACATGTGCAGTACCATGGACATAACAAAGTATACTGTTTCGCCCATGATACCCCTCATGCGTAGCCATTCCTGAGGACGTTGTTAGTACGTCAGGTGTTATTCCTCTGTACCCAGTAAATTCACGCCATATCCCACCCTTCAAACCGAAACACAGCCATACAAACACAACTGCTTCACGGTTGAAACACAAATGGGACAGAGGTACCCAAGCAATCGACTTTTGTACAAAGTCTCCCTCTGGTAAAATACTTATATAATACACTTATATAATAAATTATATAAATCTTTTTATAATATGGATAAAACCATATTACACCGAGCCCAAGTAATAATTGAAATAAGAGTAGGAAGAGACGATGGTTGATAACTTTTAACGAATTTCACTGTTTGAATAAATAATTTTCTTAAATTTTTTTTATAAACAAATAAATAGAGAAATGAAACGCTCAATTTCCGTCCACATTTTATTTAGAGACATCGGTATAAAATATATGAGATATAAAACAGCATAGTCGTAATTAAATTAAAATATATCAATATAAAACACGACCAATGTTGCCAATCTGAACGCATACAACTACATACACCGAACGTAATTAATTTGACAACATTTGTAATTATACTGGTGACGAAAGGTGCCGTCATCAGTACTCGTAACCAGATATGTTTATAGCTGACTACGTTGTATGTGAAATGGTCCTTAGGAAATTAACACGATTAATTCCTAGTGATTTTGTGGGTATGAGCAAACTGACTTGGCTTTATCCTCCCATATTTTTTTTTATACAACCTAGAATGGCAAACAAGCTGACGGCCCACCTGATGGAAAGTGGTAACCGTCGCCTATAGACATGAGCAGTACCATGGACATAACAGAGTATACTATTTCGCCTATGATACCCCCCATGCATTGCCATTCCTGAGGATTCAGGATGATCATCCCTCATTGGTGCTCTTGCCGTGAAAAACAATAGCCCAGGCGGAGGGACAAATCCATTATTGTTAATAAAAAAAAATCTTAAAACTGCCTTAAAAGGCAAACTATTTATGATTGATTTAGAATAATAATTAATGGAACAATGTTTCTACAAGTGTATGAATTTACGATTCGAGTGTTTTAATAAAGTTGTCATAACTTACGGGAGTGTGTAGGTTACACTTGTCAGACTAACTGCATCCAGTGTAGTATTGCATCAGATACAGCAATAATTTAATTAGGTTTATAAATAAATTCTAGATATATGAGTCTCACATCGTTCGAGGCCAGACTCCTTATAGAATGAGTAACACTTAAATTAATCTTTAATTAGATACTGGCCTTAAACGAACCATTAGGTAATTACAAATGTAACTGATTTATTATGTACTGATTGTTTTGAATAGTGCTCTATTCACTGTGATATTCAATTGAATGTTAATAAACTTAATGTACAATGTATGATTTTGGCTATTGTTAGATTTTGGGTTACGGTACAGTCACATGTAATAATATATTACCGCTTAGTACAATGAGTTGGAATTCTAAACGTCATTTCTCTTAAACTACGACTTTAATTTAAATTTGATAGTTTCACAAAATTGTTTATTTTATGGTCGCCTAGAATGGGCCTCTTCCTTTGCCGTGGTCGTAAGAGGGGACTAAAGTAACTTAATGATTGAGGGATGAACAACAGCGTCCCTCTTAAAACATGACCAAGGTCTAATTGCGGTTGCCAACCCGCTTAAGAATCGTGACAAAATCTCCTAATAGCAAGAGACCTATGTTTAGTAATGGGCAGTTAACGGCTAGTTAAATTTTATGGACCACCATAAATAAAATTTATAATAATTTTGACTAAAATCTATTTACCAATTTTATTTATATTAAGTCCTTAAAATAAAGATTTTCTTGTGATATTCTTATCGGATATTAATTTTAAAGATAGATTTATAGAAATACCCCCTCAAAACCCATCGCCATTATCATTATAACAACAATGCTGAATGTTGTTATTGTAATAAATTTTTCATTCCAAGTAATTTTCAAATAATTTTTAATGTCCAAACTGTAATTAAGGTCATTAGCATTATATTAATAGAATATTCTACCAGTGAATGTAAATATTTTTTCCTAAAATGTATGTTTATGAAAATTATGATTCATGATTGTTCAAGGGATTGAGAAAAATTACAGTGTCGTTGATAGAACACTAAAAAGGTTCCTGTTATTTAGTGTTCAGTGGCGTAACTATACCATTTGCGGCCTGTGGCAAATTCTTTTGATGGGGCCCTATCAGTAACAAAAAATACTATTCAAGTAAAATAAAATACTCAGGTACAATGTTAAAAAAACATTATATATATATATATATATATATATATATATATATATATATATATATATATATATATATATATATATATATATATATATATATATATATATATATATATATATATATATATAGAGCTCGCGGCCTTTTGAGCTGGGGCCCCGTTTGGGTCGGGGGCCCGTGACATTTTGCCAGCCCTGCCACCCTATTGTTACGCAGTTATTAATAATTTAATATCGTGTTTCATAAAAAAGACTAACTTCAATTATGCCAAAATAAGTTAAAAACTAAACTACTGAGCCGATTTTGATAAAATTTCTATAAAACTTATCTGGTAAGTATATCCTTTTAGATGTAGAAAGAGTTTTTTAATTCGATTTTCTACTGACGTAGTTATGAGGTAACACATATAAAAAAAAAATTACAACCAATTTAAAAACCTTGTTTTTGAAGTCGTTTGTAGAAATGATTAATTTGAGAAAATTATAACATATCTTCTTTATTGCTCTAAAGAAAAGATATACATTAGAATGTTTGTTGACATTGTAACAAAGGAGTCTTTGTAAGGGGTTTCTTATAGCCAACTTAACGCTTCATTTATGTCATTATAATTAAACGTTAATTGTCCACTTTTTTTACAACACAGGGTAAGTGACTACCGCCGCCCATGATCACCCACAACACCAGCGGCATTGCAGGTGTGCTGCCGGCCTTTTAAAAAGGAATATGCTCTTTTTGAAGGTTACAATGTCATATCGGTTCGGAAATATTGAACATAGGTCGCCAACTGGCAACTACGGGAGAAAAGGAATTGTTACCCTATTACTAGCAATATCAGGTGGACCTCCTCGTGGTTCCGCCTGGAAACCATTGTGATTAATTCATTAGTTAATTTGTCATGATGGGCTAACTGACCTGCGTCATTTTCACCTATCATCCTTTACTGTCGCCCCGCCAGCGTATACCGATAGCGTGGGTGGGGTTACCATTCCATTATCATTCCGTAAAAGAAAGTGGCAACTACTGGCACAACCTCTTTTACGGGGAAGCTTATGTTCAGTGGTGAACAATTAATAGCTGTAATGATGATGATGATGATGATTTTAACCCATGTTTTTTTTAAATATTTAGTTTTACTGATAGAATATTCGTTTAACAGTATGCTAACGATTACACCCAATAGATTACAAGGAAATATTTCACAATTATAAAGATAAATCATCTAAGTAAGTCCGCCATTTGCATCATATATTTGTCATAAAATATAATCAATAAATAACGGAAGCATTATAATGGAAGCATTATAAATATTTGGGAGTACATTAATTTTTTTATACAACTTAGAATGCCAAACAAGCTGACGGTCCACCTGATGGAAAGTGGTAACCATAGACATGAGCAGTACCATGGACATAACATAGTGTACTGTTTCGCACATGATACCCCCCATGCATTGCCATTCCTGAGGACTCAGGTGTTATTTCTCTGTATCCTGTAAAGCCACTGCCATATCCCACCCTTCAAAACGAAACACAGCCATGCAAACACAACTGCTTCACGGTTGATACACGAATGGGACAGAGGTGCCCATGCAAACGACTTTTGTACAAAGTCTCCCTCTGGTAAATATAAATGACAGTAAATTAAAGTTACAACTCAAAATTATTACATTAAATTCATTACAAATCGAAATTATCTTTTACAATATTATGAATACGTTCCATTTTTCCTTGACATAAATATGAACATTTCTAAAGTTTTATCACAGTGAATATACTATATGGGTTACATGAATGCAGTAGGTAAAGAACGTCACTCGTTACGAAGACACAATAAGAAATTGCCATTTGAATTTTGTCTTTAATGCGTTGTAAATAAATACATATTGCAATAACAAAATGAGTTAGAAGTCGTTGACTAATGCAGCAAGTTATTGTAAAATGTATCACATTGTATCATAAAGTCCAAATTCAAATAGCAAGTTACTCTCCGCATCCTAATGCCGCAGTTACATTGAGTGATGTCTGAAACATACCTTTCTGTCAAATTATCTGTTTTTTATTATTATAATTTTACTTAGGTTATAGTTATTTTCAAATCTATGTTACAGTTATGCTATGAACCTAAAGTGACTATCACAAGACTATAGTAGTAAATACAATGCTATGTACACTAGCAGGAGTATGCGGGGGGGGGGGGGGGCAATTGTCTGATTGTCTTTTTTTGTGTGATTGTAATTGTCTGAGAGTACATAATTGTATTTTTAAAGGGTCAGGGCCCTTCTGGAAAATAATTTTTATTATGTCAATAAATATTATGGTTTTGTTTGTAGGTATATAATTGTACCATAACTATTACATAGGAATAACCTAAGTAAAATGATAATACAAACAACGAAATTTTTACAATTTCATAGTGCATAATGCTCCGTTTTCTGGGGCACTCTTAAGGCTGTTGACACACTGACGAAACTGCACAATCACAATATATTTCAAGTAATAATGCCTTGTGACGTCACTGTGCAAAAGTACTACCAGAGATCCATAGAATTACTGATAGAACGTCTGTTACATAAAATTTTATGTTAGTGATACATCGCTTATTTATTACACCATATAATTTATAATGTAGTCGACGTAATTCGTTTGGCGTTTAGACACATACAAAGCTTTGCGGAATGTTTGTTATACAATTTTTATATTAAATGAAATATAACTAAGGTTTACGCTATTTTATTAAATAATGACTGGAAGAGACTAGAGCAAATTCGTAATGGACTGTAGACTTTAATTCCTCGTTACGTAAGTTCTCAATTCCTTTAAATTCTAAGTGTTGATATAGAACGCTGTGTTAGTTTTCATTTGTATAAAGTTTTATTCTTAATTTTGCTAATAGCCAGTGCCAATTATATTTAAAATATTTTTTTTTTAAAACAAAAAACGCGAAAGGAAATTAAACTGTCAACAGTATCAGATTATTTTTACAAAAATTATTACAATTTACAAATGGCGTCAGTTTTTAAGAAATTCAATATGATGTAAGGAGAATTTACATAAAATTTGATACAGTGAATAAAATTTGATATAATTTAATTCCTTTTTATATACTTTACCAAATGAAAAATAAACAACGCCTGTATCAATCCATATACTTTGGTAAACTCCAATAACACCACTCAAGTGGTCCGACCACTTTAGCTTTGGCACGGCAATTTATTATATGAAAAAGCGAATTTATAACAGAATGTATAAAATTTAAATATTACAACAATATAAATTCGGCTATGATTGATTATAATGCTTCGCCAAGCATCGTTTTCAGTCATCATTTAAAGCGAATAAAGTTCAAATTCGTATGACGTAATTTTACTGACTCACATAATATTGACATTGAGATAATGTGAAATGTAAAATACAATGTCAAATGACAAACAAAAAATGTATTGAATTTTTATTTTGTCAATGTTAAATTATTTGTTTAATTTGATCGTGTCGTTTCTTTACCGTTTGCTTTTAAAAAGGAATACCTAAATAAAGGAAACCTTTAATACCGTAACCGTGTTATTTGCAGCGGAAAGGTATATTTTCAATGTTTTCCATTAGTATCTATTTCATTTAAATGTCATTAAATGCAATTCTACAATATTGTCATCAATCAATTTACGCCGTACAAAAATTGAACTAAAAGTAATTTAACTACAACTTTGGCAACATTATAAGCGGAAAATCTACTAATTAATATGCAAGGGTTATCGAAATAATGTATACCGACAATTTTAATATCCTTATACATTTAACACTAAATATGTACTTATTCTATCACATCAACGAACGTAATCATTACAATGTAATACTAAATTAAACATTGATTAACACTGATACCAGCACAACACGTAATGTCTTGATTGATACTACTAGTAGATAAAATTAATCGTTCAATCATCACAAATAATTGGTACAATCGCGAGAGCTAGCACGCATAAGTGAGATTTGTCACTATGACAATTATTTCACACTTGACAAATTCGTGAATACATCTCGATTATTGACAGTTTGTGTACGTAATGCGCACGAACACCGCAATGCCGCGCATATAGCATCTATCTTAATACACTTGATAAGAGTAATGGAGTTGTCATAGTGACAAATTTCACTCGTTTGTGCTAATTTTCATGTCATAGTTAATTATTATTTAATATTTTCATTAATATCAGAACAATACAATTCATTGGTAATACATAGGAATAAGAAAATGTAATTCTACGCTGTTTAGCAAAATTATAATACAATGTAAACTTATTATTGACAGATTTTGTTAAAAAAATTTAAAAATATAATATTACAAAAAATAGTATACTATTTATACATAATATAGTATAGTCATGTCGAAATTTTCTATACTTTTAAGTTATATTTGAGAGTTCAATATTTATAAATAACCCAGTAATCTGAACTTGAAACTTTGAATCCATTTTCTATTCGTGAGTGAATTAACACTTATACAGCACTATAATACTCGGACAGTACTATATACTCTAATTTCAGTAATACTATTTTAATTAACTACAATACGAGTATATTTTTAGAGAAATAGCGTCTTCAATTGTGAGAAAATAGAAAAAGCACTCAAAATCTCAAGATTTAAATGGACCAATTCATTGGACCCGAGACAATAAATAAAAATATACATCAATTTATCTATTTAAAATTTCCAAACAATTTACATAGGTAAATGAAATATCAAACTGATAATAATTCTTGAAATTTACTTTAGAACACTCTTTCTCAGTCTCTTAGGATTAAATTCCAATATATTTCCAAATTTCAAATGTAGCTATCGGAAACTATGAAGTGAATACCATGATGTGATGCAGAAATACGACGTGACGTTGGATTTGTGAATAAATATGAAAAAAAGCGTGAAATGTCTAGGCATTAAAAAAAAATTATGGAAGTAATTGGTGAAAATAGGTTTCATGGAATTGCCTACATAGAAAATTTTATGAAATAATGGAACAAAATATTTTTTTGAAGTATAAAATTAGATTTCATGAAAGAGAAAATCATGATACAATTAAAAAGAGTGATAAGAAGTATATATGTAGGTACTTATTATTACATGGTGTATGCAATTTTGTTATAATATAACACATCGATAACAACATCCATTACTTATATAATTACTATTGTAATTTATCGTGCTAATGTTACAAATATAGTAAACGGAGAACTATCAAGTTTATATTCCAAAATACGACAATTTTTAACAAGATTTTCGTCTATATTTTTGCTTAGAGATCTAATGTATTTTTTAAATCAAATATTGTGCAGTGTACCTATATTTTAGAAACAGTTATTGTTGGACAACGGAGTCAGAAGATTATGGTATCTAATGGTTTATTAAAAGGCGGGATGTTTTCATTTATATTGGGTCCAAGCTACTTATATTATTTTATCGGACATTAGAAATCTTATATAAACCTTTATGAATAAGCTCGTGGGGAAACGAACAAGGAAGTGACACGACAACACTGGTATTAACATAAAACAATTGTTAACAATAGTGTTACCATGTCATACTGTAATATTACAATATTTTTTTTTATTTTATTTTTTATTTTTGAGAAACATTTCGTTCGATGTAGTTAAAATTCTATACAGTACAATGGTTTTAATAAATGAAAATATGCAAATGGAATATATTAAGTCTAATACGTTTACACAGATATATTAAACTCGAATTATTTACGATTCACAGCATTTATTCTCAATGCTGTAGGCTTCATTTGTCGGTTATCTATCGGTTAACTATTGTCAGATAAGTAATGATTTTAAAATTGAATAGGGATTGTATACATCGCATCAACTCTTATTGCTGTGAAATGTTTAAATTTGTTACAATGAATTTTACTACTGTTGCAACTTGATGTTAAATATGTTTTGTTAAAGATTTATATGATAGTTGATTTATATAATACAGTGTATATATTTCTGTCATTGGATAAAGCGATGGTCGTAGAGAAAAAATATTGAATTAAGTAAGTAGTCGTATCATTCCTGGGCAGGTCTTGCAAAAACCATGTAATTCATGATTGTTACTTCCGATTGATGATAAATGAGTGATTAATTGTAGTTTCATTATTATCATTATTATCTTTGTGATAGTTTTTTATCAATTCAATTTTTTTTTAAATTAATTCTTGTTCGAAAAATCAACAGCTGAGTTTCTCGCCTGTTCTTCTCAGCTGAGATTGCATTTCTATTTGCGGTAGGATCATAAAAATGACCAATCAAAAATGCATATAATTATAAAATGCTTATAAATATATATTTTTTTTCTTTTGATGTAATAAAGTATAATGTCATAGTAATCATAGAATGTGCTATGAATGCATATTACATAACGTGATTACTATGGCATTATTCATAATTATTGCAGCAAGTATTATTTTCCATCTAGAGGTCTGTCTGCTTGTTTGTTAATTTAGGCATTATTTTTGACAGGAATGAGAGTATAACATCTAGGAAATATGAAATGTGACAGAATACCGACAAATATTTGATAGCAAGTATAAAACACTAGAGGTATAGAGATTTTAATAAATACTTCTTTTGCTGAGACGGACGGTAAGGTTTTAGAATGATTTAAAATATTGTTTTAAACGTTTCGTTTAGTTTATCTGTGTTAATGTTTATTGGTGGTATTTTTATTGAGTAATTTTTAAAGTGGTCCGTAGATTACTTTCGTTCGATATAAATTTCCAATATGTAATCCGATATTTAAAAAATAAATTATAAATTGGGATTTATTTGTTGTAAAAATCTCAAAAATATATTAAAATAATGTCGTAAAAAGTTTAAATCTTATACATGATGATTACTTATTTTGAGATAGAAAATTGTTTTTGAAAATATATAATGAAGTGTTCACTACTGAATGGTTTAAGGGTAGGTCCTAATCAAAATGATATGTAACAAACTCTGTACCATACCTATATACGTACAATAAACCACATAATATGTACAACGACTTTATGCTAAGTAAGCTGTTTCCAAATGATTCAACTATAAGAAGTGTCGTAAATAGGTTACTTAGGACGTAATTCTCTTGTTTTTAATATTAATTGTTAAATAATATATTTAATAGAGTACCAGTTTCTTATATTATTCTTGCGTACCATAAAACCGTTGTATAAAACGAAGTTATTGTATTACGTAATGAGAAAATTACATACAAGGAAATACGCGAGAACAAATTGAAAGGGAATCTACTAAAATAAGTACGAGAAATACAAATATACCTAATCATCGTAATATCATCAGTCACGCATATTTCAAAAAACTCATGACTCCATTATAAATCGTACAAACATTCATCTGAAATTGCGGTGGCCTTTGCAATATATTTAATAATCATAATATATATTTATATTCGTAATATATAATAATTTCTATTTCATAACATTAGGTAATAAGGAAATCAAACAGAAAAAAAGGTGTCGCAAAAAAATATCACTTTTAACAGCTTTTTCCCGGATAAATAAATAATGTCAAATGAATGTAACATTTGACATTTACGATTGCGCAACGAAATGTCATTTTTTGAACATCGATCTATCTATTTGCTATATTCGTATTCACATAAATAACACCGACAAATGTTACATCAAACGATACATATTTGAAGCTTAGAATAAGTACTACTTATAACTTGGTTACCTAACCCTGGTTGTAAATTAGAAGCGAAACTACAAAGACCAACCGCACACCCATTTCTTAATAAAACAGCGACACAACACGAACCTTATGTTAATTCGCACTACTGGTCAATTCTTAGTTTAAGTGTCGCTAGCTGCCGACGGCTGCTTGATCAAGTCGAAGTCCTTGCCAACGCTGGCTTGCGTTTTCAACTTTGGCTTGTCTTTCTCGTGTCCAACCTTGTCTTGGGCGGTCTTATCGTGGGATTTGTGGTCATTTCTATGGTCGGACTTATGGTGGTGGCCGTGGCCACTCTCGACGACGCTGACGCCGTTCTTGTGGGTGGTCGGCTCGGGGTCGTCGTCGTACTCCTCATTGAACTTGCGGTTGTACCAGTGGAGACACAGGCACCTGGAATAGAAGAATTACAAACATTTTATAACAGTAAGTTTTTTTTTTATTGTTAGGGAGGCAAACACCTCTCTGGTAAATCTCTGCTTAATCACAGAGAGACTTTGTACCATTTTTTTATGCAATTGAACAATGGCAAACAAGCTATTAGTCTTGATGGAAAGTGGTAACCGTCGCCTATAGATGGACATAACAGAGTATACTGAGTCGCTTGTGTGTAACTTGTAAATTTCATTGGCATATTCCACCTCTCAAACCAAAATATAGCCATGCAAACAACTGCTTCACAGCAGAAACACGAGTGGGACAGAGGTACCCAAGCAGACGACTTTTGTACAAAGTCTCCCTCTAGTAAATCTTACATTTTCGATTTATAAATTTCTTAGCTAAACGCATCGCAAACTTTTTCAATTTCGCTCTGTTTTTATGAAATACAAGAAGGAAATAGGCAATTAGATAAAATAAAACGAATCAATCAAAAATCTTCAACTGCGACCAAGAGGCGTTGATTGAAAAGTGTCAATCAACATATCTTGACCTCTTAGTTACAGTTAATTAAGTTTCTTCGATTCTTACCACAACGTACTAGGAAATCAGGAAGGCTGTGTAGTATAAAATTTTCCTTGGACGCCGCGAGAACAAAGCGTGGATGTAGCGTGAGTGAGACTTGAAAGTCGATAGCGGCGATGTCATATAAGAAGCCTCTATATGAAAACAGACAATAGTCTTTCAATTTTAACTTAATTTTTTTTATAATACTAACTTTTATACGCGACTTCGTCCACGTGACCGGGATATGTCACTAACAGAGATAAAAAGTAGACTATGATCTCCATTCCATATAGTTATATAAATACCAAATTTTATAGTGATTGGTTAAGTCACTGAGACGCTAAGATAAATAAACAAACTCACTTTCACATTTATAATATGAGTAAGGATTTGTTTACAAAAAATAAGACACTATCGGATTGTAAAAAAGACCGAAATCTTTTAAGGTCCATCAGTTGAATATGGGATTCGTGCTGTTACGAGTACAGTTTTTTTTGCAATCTAAATTTTAATTATTCAAAGTAGTTTAAAACCTTATCATCTGCTGAGTAGATATGAAGATCAGATGAGATGAAGATGAGAGTCTTCAGATGAAATGCATCCTACTCAAAAGCTTAATTTTGTAGTCGAGTCGTAAATAATTAAAATTTAAAAAATAATCAGTACCTAAGTTTGTTTGAATTTAGAATTGTATCGCCAAAAATACATCGTTCGAAATTTAAATAGTGAACATATCGAATTTTACAAAAGATGTTTCAAAGGCAATGTCGTGGATAACTCTTTCCCTTTATAAGTGCCTGGTACCTGGTATGATTTTCTGAAGTTTATTAATTAAAAACGATAACTACTTTGTTTGTTAGGTCACTTAGTAATAAATTAAACATTTAATTGGTGTGAGTATTGTATTTCATTGTTAACTTTTAATAGCATTAAATGGTCAGATAGCTACCAATATATTTATACTTTAGATAGATTATATAGATAAAACCTCAAGCTTAAAAAGTGGGTCAACTTTTTGACTGCTAATTGTCAACTTAGCTGATTCTTTTTTTTATTAATGTTCTATATACTTACGCATATAATATATCTCGCCGTATCTATATTTAATTATTTATAAAATATAAAACGAATTATAAAATGAGTTTTTACACATTAAAAATATGCAAAAATTATAAAACAAAATGAATATAGAAGTTATAAAGGAACCAATCATTACTATTTATTACGCAAAATCGTATAAAAAAGATGGTTCACTTTTCTGGAAGCATTTGTATGGAGACACTCTATCTATACCTAATCTAAGATTTATACATAGTAGCTAGTTGAATGGTTGTTCCACCATAAGACAGACAGGACTTTGGATTGTCTTTAAATCAACTTATGGACCCACATTCAGAAATGCTAGCATTACTATATTTTTGTATCTAGGTGTCCCTCAATTTTAGTATATTAATTTATTATTATCAGACTGTGATAGGGCTAATATTCATACATTTTTATTTATTTTTTTGTCATATTTTTTTACATTGACAGTTTCAGAAAAAAATTTGTATGTAGTCTTCAAACTTTATCGCTGATGGAAGCCAAAGAATCACGGTTATAGGGAAAAGTCTTCTGGGAGCCTACATTTTGTACGCAATGCATGAATATTTTATGTATTACGCGGGTACTCCGAATGCATAATTTAAAAATTTTGGGTACAAATACGACTGAGCAGTGTGTCTCTCTTGATTCGTATAAATAATGAAATTGACGTAAAAAAGGCTGGAAACACAGATAAATAATATGTGGTCTAATATTTGGTCAAGCCTACTGAAAATGGGCCAAGTTAAGGCAGATTCACAAGCACCAGAAGGAGATATTGTATAAAAGTCGTCTGCTTGAGTACCTCTGTCCCATTCGGGTTTCTGTTGTGATGCAGTTGTGTTTGCATGGCTGTGTTTCGGTTTGAAGGGTGGGATATGGAGTGAATTTACAGGGTACAGAGGAATTACACCTGAGTCCTCAGGAATGGCAACGCATGGGGAGTATCATGGACGAAACAGTATACTCTGTTATGTCCATGGTACTGCTCATGTCTATGGGCGACGGTTACCACTTTCCATCAGGTGGGTCGTCAGCTTGTTTGCCATTCTAAGTTGTATAAAAAAAAAAAGATTTTTAATTAACAAATAAGTTTTCCCCTGTCTTTCGTTGATATGGGCAGAAATAATAGAACGCCAAATGCTTTTCACACGGTTGCCCGTATACAAAAGCAATCGACTTTTGTACAAAGTCTCCCTCGGGTATCTTCTTGTTTAATTCAATTTTAATAAATTAACAAATGACTTAAATTCAAATGGAAAATGTCTACGATGCAAAACGTGAAGTCCGTCCGTTCTGACTCTAGCTAATGAAACCTTTATGGTTTCATCCACTATACCTTAATTAACTAAAAGCTATACTGTGTTTATAGTTATATATAGCATTTCTCAGTAGTGATAGTGTAATGGGAGCTTTTAAGGTTTAATTACCTTTTTACTAAACTTTACGAGATTAAAATCTTGCCTGTCATTTTGAATATGCGACTTGGCATAACTAGGATCTACGTTTGGTCGAGACGGTTTGATCCGGTTCATTACATTAGCTTATTATTCTTTCAGATGCACAGAACTTTCTTACAAATTATGCGCTCCTAGTACTACTCACCTTAATACAGCCCCCAAAACCCCCGAACCAACGAGGGCGGCACCAGTCCCCATCAGATAGTACCGATGCTGTGCTGCTTCAGCACCAGGCGAGAGTTGCACCAACCCCACTACCAGCACCACGATGCCGAGCAGCAGGGATCCTACCACGGCATGTAATGCAGCCACCTGAGAACCACATTAAGAGTTATAAAAATATTGACATTTGAAAGAAATCTCTTCCAGCCAACCCAATGCAGTTAGAAAGAAAATAACTAGCGAGTAATCTAGTGCAGGAAAAGTACAGGTAAAAAGGTATATAAGGTTGTGTAAGTTTGTTTTATTTGTTTATTCTATTTACAAATAAAATAAACATACACAAATTGTAAATATATAATAATAAAACTTAATATAATATTTACACATGTAATATAATGAAATTGTAACTAGACTATGTCTGTACATTGGAGATAATTATATATATAAAAAAAAAGAATATTAAGGATCTATATGAGAACGATAGAAGCCAAAACAATAATATTTAGAAATTTTAAGAGTCCGTCTGTACGTTTGTTTTGGCATCACGCAAAAACTACTGTGTCCCTGAAGGTTTAACTTAAAATGTGGTGTATGTTTTAATTTGATACATCATTTATTCCATTCTATTCTATTTCAGGGATATTTCATTGGTTTACTTCCAAAATCCATGCGTATCTTATATACTTGCCAAAGTGATTGCTTTTATGCAGTAAAGATAGAAATCGGATGGGCTGCTCAAAGGTAATATACCATAGCAATAATAACGCAGAGGCATCATTAGCGTATTGCATTAGCGTCCATGTGACATGATGATGATTTTACTGCCATAGATTCATATAGAAAGCGGTCTGGTAGTAAAATAGTAATAAAATTACGTCATCGTCATCATCTCGGCCATTGTCCGTCCATAGATTTCCCCCATAGACTGCCATAAAGAACGATCCTGAGCTACCTGCATCCACTGACTCCCTACAGTGCATTTGAAGTCGTCACTTCATCTAGTCCTACACTACGTTTGCCTGCACGGGATCGCCACTCAAGAACTTAAAATAATGTAAATAATAAATATCTAAGAATAATCTGTAGTATTAATATTATATAATTTTTAAATATTTTATAATATTTAAAAATTTTACATATCATAAAAGTCCAAACATAATTGTTTTTAAAATATACAATTTACCTACCAATATTTTTGCAAAATAAATAATTTTATTTAATTTGAAAAGAAATAAACGTGATAAGACATACGTATTAATATATATTAAATATAGCTGGCTATAAACTTCCTGAAGTATCCAAATAACTAAGCATAAAATATAAGAATAAATAAATCGCATTTTTATAATACAAGCATAAAATTTGGGGTATTATTAAAATTCAATTATTTAACTTTGGACATTAAAAGTACCAACATTTTTTCTTTGAAATTATTCTGTATAATTTTTCATTACAAATTTCCGTAACAGGAAATAGCAAAGATTTTTAATTGTATTTAATTTCGATATTAAGCACAGTTACGTCTTACGTCTAAGCCAAAATCCAGCGTTACCAGATTGGGTATTTTATTTGCAATTTTAGTTTAAAATGTCTCTATTCGTAAAATTATGGAGAAATTTTTGGTCAAAAGTGGAATGGGCTGGGAGAAATTTGTGTATATTTTTTGAAAATTTTCTATAATAGTGTTAGTACTTGTAATCTCCGTACAAGTATTTAAGATATATAATTGCACTAAAATATGACTTTTTTTTTCATGCAACATAGAATGGCAAACAAGAAGACGGCTTATCTGATGGAAAGTGGTAACCGTCCCATGTGGTACCTATAGACATGAGCAGTACTATGGACATAACAGAGTATACAGTTTCGCCCGTAACATGCCCCTATATGCGTTGCCATTCCTGAGGACTCAGGTGTTATTCCTCTGTACCCTGTAAATTTACCCTTTAAACCAAAAGTGGTCATGCAAACACAACTGTTTCACGGTAGAAACAAGAATGGGATAGAGGTGCCCAAGCAAATAACTTTTATACGTAGTCGATCTCTAAAGGTGCGTAACGAAAAGAGTAAAAACAGAAGGAATGACCTTCTTTTTTCGTATTTCATGTGGTGACACATGGCAAAATGTAGTGAAAAAAGATACAACTTTGTGATATAGGCTTAAAATAAAAAAAAAGATCTAGACTATATTTCTATTTAACTTCAAAAGTCCAGCCTATCCTCAATTTTAGATTTAAAACTACACTTGATTATTCTTGAACAATAACATTATCAAAGCTTAAAAGCTTGATGCGACAGCAGGCAGACAAGGCACTATGTTCTAGTTTAGTGAGCAATTCCCCTGCGCACTCTCGCCCCATAGAGCACAGGCTACCCCTTGCCACTTCGCAGTTATTTATGACGCGCCAAACATAATTATAAGCCTTTTAGAAGTAAATTAATTATCTGGCAGCTCAGTGTGAGGTAAAGTATCTGGTTAAAGAACTTTCTATCAAGTATCAAGTTATATTATGGGAGATAAAACTTGATTTCAACCGACTTGGAAAAGATGGAGATTTTCAATTCGGTTATATTTTTACTTCACGTTTACGTTTGTTACCCGATAACTCCGTCAGTTGTAAACCGATTTGAAATTTTTTCCTTCTATCTGAAAGGATATATACTTACATATATATTGTTATATAGATTGGTCTCTTAGGAATTTTACCAGAATAAGTAGGCTTTTTTTATACAACTTAGAATGGCAAACAAGCTGACGGCCCACCTGATGGAAAGTGGTAACCGTCGCCTATAGACATGAGCAGAATCATGGACATAACAAAGTATATTGTTTCGCCCATGATACCCCCCATGCGTTGCCATTCCTGAGGACTCAGGAGTTATTCCTTTGTACCCTATAAATTCACGCCATATCCCATCCTTCAAACCGAACCATAGCCATGTAAACACAACTTCTTCACGGTAGAAACACGAATGGGACAAAGGTACCCAAGCAATCGAATATATGCTTAAAATAATAGATTTTTTTATACCACAAACGTGGCAAACAAGCATACAGCCCGTCTGATTGTAAACGGTCACTATAGCCTATGGATGCCTGGAACATTAGAGGTATGCTGACTCTGAAGAAACCTTAATATACCCTTATCGAAGAATCCCATACTGTAGTGTCTATAGAAAACTTCGACAGGGAGCTCATTCTACAGCCTTAGCATTCGTGGGGGAAAAAAACACTAATTTAATACCGCTAATTTTGAGATTAAAATATTCTTATAGTTGGCATTAATCCATTATAACTTCATAGGACCACTATTTGATGTTTTGGTTCGACTTGAACCACTATAGTGCGTTTATGAATAACACTTTTTACTATTACAGGGTTATGATAGGTTTATCTGAAGCGTTTATATCATAAATAACACGATGACGATGTAAGTGACGTCGCTACTGAATAGTTATTGCAGAGTTATAGTTATTTATCAATAAAGATTCACGTTTTTTCCTTATTATAGATGATTTATAAACGGTTGATATTTTTTATGAATAAGACAGTTTTATGTACCGTTAGCAATGTCGACATCACCTGTAACTTCTTATTTTATAACGATGGGATATGGCGTGAATTTACAGGGTACAGAGGAATACCATCTGAGTCCTCAGGAATAGCAACGCATGGAGGGTATCATTGGCGAAACAGTATACTCTGTTATGTCCATGGTACTGCTCATGTCTATAGGCGACGGTTACCACTTTCCATCAGGTGGGCCGTCAGCTTGTTTGCCATTGTAAGTTGTATAAAAAAAAAACTGTCCACTGCTAAACATAACTCTCCACTTAGGGGGATTTTGCCACGCTTGGCAGGTGGATTGGCAACTGTAGTTACACTTTGGAAATGTTTTAAGAGGGACGCTGCTGCCCATCCCTCGCCCTCCTTAGTCGCTTCTTACGATACCCACGGGAATGGATGGGGTGGCTTATTCTATGCCGGGTCCACACAGGAATGGCGTATATATACATAATAAACACTTAGTAATAGCATAAATATTTTTTTGTAATACGATAGATATATTCTAAGGAAAAAGTAATTTTTTTAATTAGATTCAGAAATGTGTTTTTTTTTTTAGGTCAGTGCAAGTATTTTTCTAAAATTTTTTGCTAATTTTGATATTTTAGAAAGTATAAAGCGTTTACCTTCCCGCAGACATAAAGCTCGTTCCTCAGCCGATGGTGGTCAGGCGAGGGGGTGGCTTCGGCGTCGGGCCCCCGGCCCAGCTGCAGCGGCAGCTGCGAGGGGCGCCGGCCGCCGCCGCGTTTCTCTGCCCGCCGCCTCTCATGCCTTACGGCCACTGCTGGCATCGCGCCGATCATCTTAGCTAAGAGTGGTACATAACATAAGCTGATGCATTGTGTTGACTTATAGACGGATTCAATAAAAATGGAGATTGTTTTTTTTATTATGTTTGTTACCTCATAACTCCGTCATTTATAAACCGATTTGGAAATTTCTTTTTTTTTTTTATTTGAAAGGATATTATACTTTTAGATTGTTCTAATAAAATAATATTTAATTGACAATTTTTTTTAATCAATGCACCGCCATTTTCTCTGTTTATCGTAACGGTTGACTGGTAGAGAATGCCATCAAGCGTTAAGTCCGCCCTGTAGACATGTTCTAATGTTTGCAAAAGTACAATACCTAATAATTTCATGATATATTTCAAATCAAAATATAGCCATGCAAGCAAAATTGGGCGGTAGACACATAAATTATGCAGAGCTATGAAGAATGTTACTAACGAATATTAAAATTAAGGTTAAGAAAATTGATTTTTTTTTTATAATGGATGGTAATGGAATGGTAACTCCGACTGCGCTATCAGTGTACGTAGATGGTTATATTATGTGATTACAAAAGTAGGTCAGCTGGCCCATCCTGAAGAATTCAACAAGAATTATCCACAGTGGTTTCTAAGGGGAAACGCGCGGAGGTGTGCGTGGACTTGATAGGGGTTTTCGCTGGCAATGGGGCATTTAGATCCCATTACTAACAATCCCTTTCTGCCTTGAGACAATGAAGGTTAATTCAATACGAATACTTTAAGAGAAGGAGGCGAGGATCATTTATTAAAAGAAATAGGAGTTTTTTATATGCAACAAAGAATGGCAAACAAGCTGACGGCCCACCTGATGAAAAATGGTAACCGTCGCTTATAGACATGAGCAGTACCATGAACATAACAGAGTATACTGTTTCATCTATGATACCCCCCATGCGTTGCCATTCCTGAGGACCTAGGTGTTATTCCTCTGTAACCTGTAAATTCCCTGTCATATCCCAGCCTTCAAACCGAAACACAGCCATGCAAATACATGCTACGTGTCGATTTTCCAAATTATTCCATAATTACTTTGAATTTCAGATCTCGCTAAATGCTAAAATAATTAGCATCAACGTACAAATTGAAATAAATTTAAAATACAACTATAGAGTCTCGAAAAGGAGGTGTCTAGTTTTGAAAATGAGTTTCTCGTCGTGGTAGAACGACGTGGTAATGGATCGATCCATTAGCGTGCAGTTCCCGACTTTAATGGTTAGATCTGTTATATCTACCTCTACCTTCTCTCCTACCTCTTACCTTAGCTACGTGAACAAATAAAAATGCTGTTGGTTTTTTGTATTAGGAAATGTCGTTGCTCTTGCTCGAAGCCAATTACACTTCGCTAACAGGATATGAAGCATCATAGTAACTTTGCGGATAATTTAATTAATTCCCTCTCTTCTACTTTTCAATCGACTTCAAAAAAGGGAGTTTCGTAATTTAGGTTGTATTTTTTTTATGTTTGTTACCACATAACTAGTTGTAAAATGAGTTAAAAAATTCTTACTCGTCTGAAAAAATATGCTTTCATATTGGTACCATAGAAATTTTATCAAAATCGATTTACTAGTTGAGTAATAGTTTTTAAACTGGTTTTGACACAATTGTAGTTCTTTTTTTGAAGCACAATTCAATTATCAGAGGGGAACTTCGTACAAAAGTCGTTTGCTCGGGTACCTCTGTTCCATTCGTGTTTCTAGCGTGAAGCAGTCGTGTTTGCATAGCTGTGTTTCGGTTTGAAAGGTGGGATATGGCAGTGAATTTACAGGGTACAGAGGAATAACACTTGAGTTCTCAGGAATGGCGACGAGAAGGGGGTATCACGGACGAAATAGTGTGTCCTGTAATGTCCATGGTACTGCTCATGTCTATGGGCGACGGTTACCACTTTCCATCAGGTGAGCCGTCAGCTTGTTTGGCATTCTATATTGCATTAAAAAAATATATTAATGTTTATATAGTCCGATTAAGGTTTGCAGAGAAGAAAGATTAATCTATTTGTAAGTAGGACAGAACAACATTTGCCAAGTCATCTAGAGGGGATGGATAGTTAGTCAAGGGGATTAACGGGCCCATTACTTGCAATATTCCCCCCGTCTAGTAAATATCACTACGCGGTTTTCTTTTGTAGCCATCTTGGTTGATTTTTGGTGAAATTAATCTGACTTCATCCTCATATGTTATGCTTCCCTAGTACCTCATCTGTATAAATTAATAGCACACGCGATGTTACCATATTTCCACCTATTAAAAAAATAACGCCGGGTAAAACGTTCGTTCCCTGTGGTCAACTGAAAATGACGGTGATGATGATGATGATGATGATGATATATACTTACATCGCTGATTTTCCCTTGGCTGCAATAACGATTGGAGCATATCTGTAACAAAGTCGTATCGTTTATTAATATTAGCTTCGAAAAAAATATATAACATTTCAAAAATTACATCGGCTTCCTGACTCTCAAATAATAAAAAAAAAAGCGAAGAAAATATTGTAATTAAAAAACCAGGTCAGGCTTTTTGTTGTGTGGTTTTATTTCAAGTTTTCCTTTTGTACGCTCTCATATAATTTATTTTTTAATTAAATTAATAAGGGCGAATTTGTTTAACATGTTGTCAACGATGATTTATAGATCCAAGACGTGGTCTTACACTGCTAATCGTATGTGGAAGCTCCAAGTTTATTTATTTATATACACATATAACAAACATTAAATATAATACAATATCAATTAATGCACAAGTCTATTAAAGGTATTCACAGCATTTAATTTAACATAACTAACTGTATTATTTAATAAGCCGTGTAAAAGGATATACTCTGAGATTTTCTATATAAAAGAATCTGTAATGAGAACATCTGCAGACGAAACAGAGTGACCGATACAGCCCGAATAAAAGCAATCTAAAGAGACAATAATTCGAAGAATCGTCAATTGATGGAGCATAAAATTACTCGAATGGCGACCATTCGATCTTATTATCGTTTTAATAAAGGCCCAGAAGGTAAAGAATATCAATAGAAGGTCTATAAATGTATAAAAGGAAAATTATTAAATAATACACGGTGATGCCGCGTGACCTACATCCGTCGTCAAAATGGCGGCGTGGTAATACGACGACATGGCGACACTTAAGATGAAGTACTTCCTTTATATATTTTAGGTGTTTATATTGCTTTGGTTAACATCAACATTGCAGACTTGCGATCCGGTTCGGCTTTGTTTTGAAATTACATTATTTATAATTATAGTAGATTTCGAAAATAATATTTAGATTTCATTAGATGTAAGAATTTTTAAAATCGGTTAAATAGTTTATTTTATTGTACACAAAAAATTACAAATATATAATTTTTATATTATTTATATATTTATTATTATATTTATATTAAATAAATTGATGTACAAAGGGCGAGCTTAACTCTGTAAGAGTTCTCTTCCAGCAAACCCTGAGTGGAAAAGAGTATGAAATATATATTCTTTATTGCACTTGTATAGTACATTACTGCAGCGGCCAGCAACTGAGACATTGATGGACGAACGCACAAATGTGGGCTGAGGTGTAGCCGAAGCACACATACGTGAGTCCATCAATGCCTATTTGTGGCCAAGGCTTGTATAGTACTTTTCTCAAACAATGCGCGGAAATCAAAAACACAATTTTACTTTTTAAATTCAATGACGAATAAAGAACAATAATAATTTTTGACGCGCCATAATGTCCCCTGGTTTTTTTTTTCAATAAACAGCTTTCTATTTGCAAGCCAGTTCGAAATTTAAATAAAACCTTGTATTAGTTACCTCCTCAGTAGCCATGTTTCGAAGTTAAAGGTCATTCCATTTTTAAATTACAGGACAGATATGAGTTTACATAGTAATTTATTTGGCCGCAAAACACGACAGATATGGATTTTCATACAACTTTTGCCGGCCGCTGTCCGCATGTATCTTGGCCAGTACGGCAATTTTGATTTATCTCGAAGAAGATTGTCAAAATAATGCTCACATTTCCAAGCATGTTTGAGAAAAATTACATTGTTAATGCATTTGTAAATGTTGTAAGCAAGGGAGGACTTATCTCTCACAGAGATCTCTTCCAGTCAACTCAATACAGTGAGAAACCATGTCGTTAGCGGGCAGCTGAAGTGCTACAACTTTGAATATTTAAATAGTAGTTTTTGAGTTTAGCCACTACAAACAAACAAATCTTTCCTCTTTATAATTTTAGTATAGATTAATAATCTGTATATCTGTAGTTTCTATTAGGTCTCCTTACCAGAGTTTTTTATTCGCATGCAGGATGTCGTTTAAGGCAGGAGTGATACAGGGAACAAAACCTAATTTACTTTCGAAGAGGGAAATTCCACTAATGTTCTGTCTATAAAAGCTGTGTCGCCCTCTAGTGTTAAGAGTTTCTGTTAATAATATATTTATTGCTAGATGATAAGGCAGTAACCTGATGGCGTATAGGAAAGAAGTGGATGAAGTCAGCACAGGACAATATAGCATGGGGTTCTTCAAAAGGGGGGTAAAGAGGTTTCTTCAGGGTCGGCAACGCACGCGTAATACCCCTGGTATTGCAGGTGTTCATAGGATACGGTAACCATCAGGTGGGCTGTATGCTTGTTTGCCAACTTAGTGGTATAAAAAAAAGGACAATTACAAGTGGCGGGACAAGAAGGACATAAGAAGGAAGCGTATGCCCAGCAGTGGGCTAATGTGGACTGAGTAGATCGATCGATAGATTGACGGCCTCTGTGACAGAGTGGTAGACATGTTGCTTTCCGTAAAAAAGGTTCTGGGGTCGATTTCCGGTCGGGCTAATTTAATTAAATTAATTACTTTAATTATTATAAATATAATAATAATTATATTTTATATAATAACTAGCCCCGGCTTCGCACGGATGCACATTACATCACATCACATTAGAAACCTCTAAAATTATCAGTGTTTCTCTACTATATTACGCATGTATTATACATATAAACCTTCCTCTTGAATCACTCTATCTATTAAAAAAACCTCATCAAAATCCATTGCGTAGTTTTAAAGATCTAAGCATACATAGGGACGGATAGACGGGAAGCGACTTTGTTTTATACTATGTAGCGATATAAAATATAATAATTAATTTAAGACTATGTTTCGGTTTGAAGGGTAGAATATGGCAGTGAATTTACGGGGTACAGAGAATGTCAAAAGCAGCCAATGGGGGAGGTCTATGTTTAATAGTGGGCAGTTTTTTTGATGGGTGAAAATGGAATAATAACCCCGCCTGCGCTAACGGGATACGCTGGCGGAGCACCAGTGAAAACAGGCCAATTAGTCCATCATGACGAATTCACAAGGAATTAACCATGATAGTTTCCAGGGAGAACCGCGAGGAGGTCGACCTGGCTGGGTATGTTGCTAGCAATGGGATTCTTAGTCTCCATTACTAACAATCCCTTTCCCCCAATAGTGGGCAGTTAACAACTGATATGATGACCCTGTAATTTTACTATCATAGCCCACCCAAACCGAACACCATGCGAACCATGCGTCGGTAAAAGAATTATCCTGCTCACCTTCGTTTTAAATACAATCCAATTTAGAACTTCGTCCTTTACAAATAGGTTGAAAATAGGTATGAATGAATTCAGAAGGACACGATAAAAATTCATAGCGCAATTTCGTAAATGGAATTATATTAGATGCACGTAACATTTCAGATTTACAATAGCTGCTCTTACAAAAGGTACGGTTGTAAAAAAAGATTGTGTTTGAAGAGCACTGAAATCTAACGATAAAGGACCTAGACTAGAGAGAGTACTGTTAGCAACAAAAGTATAACAATATATATTCTCGCATATGGGGTCAGCTAAGCCGTTGCATGTTGACCCTTTTGTGCTTCTCCCTGCCTTATACCATCATTTCATAGATCCTATGTGTTACTCTAACGATATCCCGCGGTTTAAGATACCTGTAGTCCCCTGGTTCTGGATAAGCCGTTCCCAGTAGATTCATACGTATACTTGCCAACGAATCGCAGTTGCACATCAAGTGTTCCATGGATTCCGATTTCTCACCGCACAGTCTGCACAGCGTGTCCGAAGATAGACCCATCTTGTGTAGTATATGCCTTATTGGCATATATATAAATACATAATAATAAATCATAATTCATATTACGAATTAATCCAATTTTTAACAAATAGTAGCTAGTACGCTATTAATTGTGAACGAAAATCACGTTTTGTGATTTGTTGTAGGTGATATAAATGTATACAAAAATAATAATTTCACAAAATGTTAATGAATTAAATTTTGCTATAATTTTCATGTCTATAAAACAGAGATTCGAGAGTATCGTAAAATACTTGTGGAAAATCCGGAAAATCACAATAAATAAATTACAAAAATTGACGATATTACTTTTTCATCCTATACTTTTTTTGTTTATACCCCTAAGGTGGCAAACAAGCATACGGCCCATCTGATGGTAAGCGGTTACCGTAGCCTATAAAACACCTACAATTCCAGAGGTATTACGCGCGCGTTACCGAAGCTGAAGAAACCTCTTTACCCCCCTTTTGAAGAACCCCATGTTTGAACCTTCTAGTAACATGACAAAATACTACAACACACACACAGTTCAGTAATAAACACATATTGCTAAGTATTTCGTAAAATTTCTAAAATTTTCATTTTCCGAATCGTGCCGCGAGGACGATTCCATAATTAATTGTATAAAGGTTTACAGTTTTTTTTTATTTTATGGGTGAAAATGGTATGGTAACCCCGCCTGCGCTAACGGGATACGCTGGCGGAGCACCAGTGAAGGGTGATAGATGAGAATGAAAACAGTACAGTTAGCCCATCATGATGAATTCATCAAGAATTAACCATGATAGTTTCCAGGGGGAATCGCGAGGAGGTCGACCTGGTTGGGTATATTGCTAGCAATGGGATTTTTAGTCTCCATTACTAATAATCCCTTTCCCCCTAAAGGTTTTCATTGTTTGTCTTTATGTCAATCTAATATTATATCCAGGTATAGAGTTTTAAATAAAAGTCCCAAGTAATATTTAATAATTTATTAATTAATAAGTGTAATAAATTTAATTAAATGAAACACTTGCCTATATGGAATGACGTGTGATTGGAGAAAATTTTAAATTTTGCGAGGGAAAGTAATTAAATTATTTGTCGATTAATTTTAATGATTACATTAATGTTTTATTTATATATATATTTTCGAATTTTAACGTTATATCAAATCGACTTGTACTTTATAAGCATTTAGGAATAAATATTTCATTAGAATACATAGCAAAGTAAGTCGAAATACGTAAAAGCATTTAGGAATAAATGTCTTATTAAAATACATTGTA